TATATATATTTTGATTGATTTAACGAAATGCAAATCAAAACTTTTTTTTTACTTCTCTTTTAAGTAAATCTACTGGGTCCAGCTCATCCTAGCACATTCAAATCCTTTAGAGATTTGTATCCTAATATCAGCATTAATTGAACAATGAATAAGAAATAAAATCTGTATTTCAAATAAGCTACAAATATTTAAATGGGTTTCTACCAACGTCTGTCTCTACCATATGGTTTATAAATATCCCCTTCTCTTTAATATTATAATAAAACAAGATGCCAATCATTTTAATTGAATCATTCATTTATTGGTTAGTGAAGACAGTCAGTGTGCTCTAAGCCCTCCAGTGGGACCAGCTGCGAATCTCGTTCCAGATGTGGGTGCCGGGGCATTCGGTGGCGCTCACCTGACGATGGCCATAGAGAATGTAGCCGGAGGCGAGCTGGCCACGGCTGACGGCATCGTTGAGCAGACCCTGAGCGGCTGCGATCATGTTCGGCTCCAGGGTGTCCCAGTTGTAGTTGCCCAGGAAGGAGATGCCAATGCTGTAGGGATTCCATTCGGCGGCATGGGCGCCCATCGAGTTCCAGCCGCGACCCTCATAGACAGCGCCATCGCCGCCGATCAGGAAGTTGTAGCCGATATCGGGCCAGCCCAGTTCGTCCATGTGGTAGCTCTGGACGTTGCGCAGCTGCTGTGCGCAGGCAGCGCGAGTCTCGCAGTAGTTGCCCGCTGTGTGATGGATGATGGCGTAGTCCAGGTAGTTGCCCAGGGCAACGCGATAGGTGGGTGCACGGCCACCCCACTCGGCCTTGGAGACGATGTAGACTCCCTGGACGGCGTACTGGCCACAGACCAGCACAGCGAGAACTAGAGCGAACCCTGCCTTAGACACCATGGTTAAACTTTGCTTATTGTGTTTAGCTCCATCGACGTGGGGCATTTATAAATGCAATTTCTTGGCTCTCAAGTTCGGCTTATCGAGCTCTTAAAAAGATTAAGTCTCAATAATTTATATTGAGATTTTAATTTATGGTAATGATTCTCCCGTGGGAAGTACAAATAGTAGACCAAACCTAAATACTCCAATGATTTACGTTCCCGACTGGCCGAATGTTTGCTTATCGGCAAATGTGCATATATTATATGTTTTATATATATAATGTATATATAAAGCGTGGCTACACTATGTCTCGCTATTATCGGCTCACATATATTCGATTGATAAGCATGAAAGCCTTATCACACTAGCTGCTAGTGTCTTCCCGTCAAATGGTCTCAGATTCCATTTGCTATCCCACCTCGAACATAAGAGTTGAAGAAAGCTTGTGAAAATTCTATGATAATATTAACTGAAAGATTGATTATCCATTCTTTAAGATGACCTCAATAATCCAGCTTTAAATATGTATTACATGACTATAATTATCCAGCTCACTCATATACTTTATCTCGCTTAGCTAAATCTAGATAATTATGGACTCATTTTATATTGTAAATTCTTAAAATATACAAGATTTTTCTTATAGAAATATTCTAAGTATATCTATAAAAAACTTACATAAATAATAAT